AGGATGAGGCCCAGAAATCAGGATTTTAAAAAGATTCCCAGGTGATTCTAATGTGCAGCCAAGGTTGAGAACCACTGTCCTAGAGGGTGGTGAATGAATGAGTGAACAAGTGAAGTAGAAACAAGGACATTGAGGATCAGAAATAGGAAAACTCAGTAATAAGGAGGAAGAGAGAGGACTCGCACGTGGCTCTTTCAGTTTCAGTGGTCAGGAGTCAGTGTGGTACCTACGCTTCCTTATCCACAAGAGACTAACACAGTATTTTTTTTTCTCTTAAGAAGGCAATTAATTTAGATGCAATAACAAAAAGTTTCTATTATCAAGAATAATCTGCTTTTATAAATAACTCCTATATCTTTTTCTGCCTGAATAAATACTACATTAGATCTTATTATATTTTGTTTTGCTACAATAGACTTTAACCATTATTTATAGAGACTTGTAAATGAAGATGGTACATTACAAAGGAAGAACTACTTCAATGAAACAGAGGTAGGAGGGCATCCCACACATTCTTTTGGCTTCAGATCCAGGGTGAGGAAATTTTTCCTTCCTTGAAATAATTTTGCTAATTTGAAAAGTCAAGGTATAGTTTAGGCTATGAGTTTAGCAGGTCCCGATACCCTTTCACAAGTGAAGCTGTGATGGTCTTGGAGCTGTTAGGAGATGTATTGTGTGTAGCACAAGGTATTGGTTGATCAGAAATATGGAGAATGAGTGCATGGAAAGATTTGTTTTTAAAAGCACATTCTTTATTAAATGAGAAACATTGGTTAAGATTTAGTGGTTACCTACTAAGGAAACCAGTGATTTGAAAAAAATATAACCATAGCATTTTTACATAAGCCATTCTTTTGATGTTGGTAATTTTTATGATTTTTCTCACAATAAGAGAGGGCACATGTTGGCTCTTCTACCCTATAAGAAATTCTGAAAGGGCCCTCCACACCTCTCAAATGAGCAAGTACATTTACATGTGGAATCTAATGAACAAAATAGAATCAGACTCATAGATATAGAGAGCAGACCAGCAGCTGTTAGAGGGGTGGGGTTGGGGGCTCAGTAGAAAAGGTGAAGGGATTAAGCCAAAAACAAAACAAAAAAACCTCAGAGACAATGACAACGGTATGGTGATTAGTAGAGAGTAGGAGGTAGAAAAGGGTAAAGGGGGAATGGTGATAAAGGAGACTTGACTTGGGGTGGTGAACACACAATACAATGTACAGATAATGTCTTATAGAATTGTACACCTGAAACCTGCGTAATATTATTAACCAATGTCTCCCCAAAACATTCATTAAGAATTTTACAAACTTGGTTAAAATAGTACAAAATATCTCCACGGATTCACAGCAGGTAGTGTCTGCTTTATGATTAATTATTGCTGGCACTTTTTTGGTTTCTGGAATTTTGGAAACACCCTAAATTAGCAGAGGAAGGATAAAGGCACCATGCTAAATACAGAGTGGACCACCTCTGTACAGTACAAAACTAACTCTTCTTTGAGTAACTCTTCTTAAGACATGTGCCTAGTGATCTGAATGTTACATTTGGAACAGGGTTAATTTGAACATGAGATTACATCTGAGATTTAATTCATTTGTAACTATCGTATTGTTTCTGAGTACATTTTGTACTTCCACATATTTGGAAGGTCTGTAGGATGAAAATTCCTAGGAAAAAAAATAAATGAAGACATGACATTCTTAGAAATATAGAAGTGTTTAATTAAAGGCACAAAAGCAAAAGTTTCTCCAAACTGCCACTCCCTTCCAAGTAAATAAAAAATTGCAGGCTATGACCAAAATGTGCCCAGAGTTTCATTCCTGCCTAGAGAGTTCTTTGACTTCGTCCCCTTATGGCTATTTGCCCTTCACAATGCCTTCTTGTCAGTTCTAGAGAGCCTTCAAATGGATAGAGGAAGCAACAAGCATATAGCCTCCAAGCAGAAGAGAGTTAATACAACATCTTTTAGAAATGCGAATACACCGCTAGGCATACTCAGCCAAACATCCTTCAGGAATTGAAGCATTTTTGATGCAGTTGACCTTTAAATAAGATGGGGACAAGGTAGAAAGGCAGCTCTTTTCTGTAACTCTAGCCTCACCAAGGGGTTCCAGAAAAAGAAATACATTTTTTAAGCATGGATTTTGATGCAGATAGATCCTCAATTCAGGTTGGGAATGTGTGAACATCTATCTCCCTGTAGGTTATGAAAATAAAACACCAATGTCCACGAAGTCTGAAAGAGGTAATCTCTGACTAGTTCTCTATTATTGACATTTTGAAACCAATGCTAATCTTTTAGTAGATAAACATTTAAGAAGTATTAAAGCAAAGCTTATTTATTACAAAGGAAAAATAGGCTAGTGGGTGGACTCTTTTGGAAGACTCTTGAATTGGTCAGAGCTTGTAGTTGCAAGGGACAAAAAACCACCTCAAATTAGCTTGGGGAAAATGGGTATATATTATATGGAGACTGAGGCTTCTAAGGGAAGAGTGAAATGATGGTCAAAAAGGCAAGGGGTATACATAGCTGGGGCTTATCATCTCTGATCTCTGTGTAGCTTGGCCAACAAGCTTCATTCTCTTCTTTCTCCTCCACATGGGAGGAGCATGTCATATATAGCTACCTGAGTTTCACTTCTTGGGGATTTCTGTACCAGAGAAGGCTGGCTGGTTTTTTCCAATTCTGGCTTGAAAAATACCCAGGAAGAACTCTGATTGGCCTGGCTCAGATCAGATGTCCAATCACAGTGACAATGTAAGCACGTGGTGCCTCTAATTGTAAGAAGTGATGGGTGTCAGTAGAAGAACCATGCCATAAGAAGGGGCAGAATGGATTCCAAATGCCCACCCAAATTATTGTTTCAAGTGTATATATATTTTTTCTTTTTTAAAAAATATACTTTTATTGATTTCAGAGAGGAAGGGAGAGATAGAACCATCAATGATGAGAGAGAATCATTGATTGGCTGCCTCCTGCACGCCTCCTATTGGGGATCAAGCCCACAACCTAGGCATGTGCCCTTGACCAGAATCGAACCTGGGACCCTTCAGTCTGCAGGCTGATGCAGGCCAATGCTCTATCCACTGAGCAAAACCAGGTAGGGCTCAACTGTATATTTTGATTTGTAAAGTTGTAATGGAGCGGTATTCTATTTTTAGAGAAGAAAATCATGTCAATCATGCTAATTTCACCACCTTCTGGAATTTGCAAAGATATTCATCTGAGCTACCATTAGCTTCATTGTGCATTTGCAGGCTAATGAGGTTATTTCAAACTCTGTATTATTTATTGTAGTGGGCATCTGAGTAATGTTGCTAGCCCAGCATTTAGTCCTTCTGTTTCAGGTGACAAAACCTACATTTTATTTTGGGAGATCAGTACCTTCTCTGTTCTCAAAGCATGTGATTTCCATAGTTGTATGATGAACTTGTCCCAGTGACATGTTCATGAACCAGCTCTGTCTGGCCAATGGACTTCCACATTCCCCTGGCAAGTTATGGTCCAAGGACAGACTGCCCTACTTTTTTAGGGCTTTTCTGGAACAGTTGAAAAACAATCTGGGAATGCTTTTGAAGCAGCTGGTCACATATTGGGAAGACCTAGATGAGAGTAATGGAAAAAGAGAGGACAAAGCAGAGTTGAGAGATGGAAATTCCTAATAACAGGGTTAAAAGTCCCGCCGTGTCCAAACTGGGCAGTTAGGTGAGATAGGACAATTTTTCTCCTTCCCTTCGGCCCCTCAGTTTTGGTTACAGCCTGTTTGATTTGGATTTCTGTACCTTGCATCCAATGTGAAAACTGGAATTGTCTTCATGAGCTGAAATATAATTCCTCATTAGCTCTCCTGCTCCAGTTCCTCATGATCCAGATACATATTGCTGCATCACAAATCACCACAAAACTTAGTGGTGTGAGGCCATAGCAATCATCTATCCCTCGTGGTTTCTGTGGGTCAGGAATGTGGGAAGCATTTAGCTTGGTGGTTCTCGCTTGGAGTCTCAATGCAGCTACATTCAGACAGTGGCTGGAACTGGCATGGAGGGGAGGAGACAGGGCTGGAGCAACTGGAGCTGGAAAGGGAGCTCTCTTTTTGTAGGAGTCTCAGTAGCTGTGTGTGCACTGCTTGGGCTTCCTCACAGCATGGCACTCAGAGCACCCGGACTGCTTACATGGCCCAGAGTGGGTGTTCCGGAGCACTGGGTAGAAGTTAATCGCCTTCTATGGCGTAGCTTTGAAAGACACACAGTGTCATTTCCACTACACGCTGGTCAATTGGTCAAGAAGGTTGGCCCAGAATCAAGGGGAGGGGATGTAAACCCCACCTCTCATTGGAGACTTGTCAACGAATTTGCAGACATTGTTTAATACTACCACATGTTATAAGCAATTCCTGAACTGTGAGAAGGTACTAGGATCAGAATGATGTATTTAAGTAGACTTAGTTTCATGAAGGCATACCTTATTTGATACTTTTGGAAGATGAGTTGACGTTTTCAGGTTATTAAGTCAAGTTGCTATCAAGTCTAGTCTGTACATATTAAAAATCAAATCAAGACTTGTCATGATGTTTTGGGCTTCAGAATTCCATTTTTCTCTTGTTGAGCATTTCCCATTTTAATATGAATATCATTGAAAAGTATTTAGATTTGCATTAGTTCTCTACTTCACAATTACTTATATATTGATTTAGTACTAAGATGTTTTATTTAATACTTGGTACCTCAATCAATGTAGCTTCCAGAAGTGCTTAATTGTCTTCTAGTATCCAGTTTAAGGAATTAAGAGTATTTATTTATGGACCCTATATGGGTGTGGATTTGTAAAACTCAACCTGGGTTGTGGTCTTATCACTTTGCCTCTCTGATGAGTATAGAAATCCTCTTTTATACTACCTAGTACCAGGGAGTCAAAAACAGAATGAAACTCTTTTCAACTTTCTCTCAAGTGGAGGAACTCTAATAGATCTTGAACTTTTTTTTTTCTGTTTCAGAATGTAACAAGTAATCCATTGGAATAAAACCAGCAGTTGAGTAACTCATGCAAAGGTAATTTAGAGCACAAATTAAATCTGTCAGAGTGGTATTAGATTTGCAAAAGCTCATAAATAACAAATGAAAGGTCACAGAGCTGTGAAAATGAGAATGTACTTGTTCATAAAGAGAGCTGTAGTCAGGAGAGGAATCTTCAGTGCATATTCAAATAGCAGCACATAAAATGGAAATCAATGCAACAGCCTTTCTAAATGTCTAGAGCAGTCCAAAGGCACAGTGGATTCCAGGGATAAGCATCAAAGTTCTAGAAAAGACCCCTCATATTATCAGAGCATGTCCAGCATCGTATTGATGAGGTTTAGAGAGTAAAGTTCCACCAACTATTGAGAATATATACAGAAAAGGTACAGCCCCTTCAGCAGGGCCTGTATTCAGTAATAGGCTCATTGTGAATGCATGTCACTCATTTTTCACTTTTCAGTTCCTAGAAAATACTAATAGAGTGGGTAGTGATTCATGATTTACTGCAGGGATGTAAGCCGTTGGTGATATTAATAATCAGTCATGTCTGTCCAGTTTTTCTCATGGAAAAGAGCAGTGGGAAACCTAGCCCTGGCTACTGCACAATACACAATGTTCTTTCACTCTGAATTGTATGCAGATCCTTCTTTTTAGTGCTTGACTTTTATAAGGGAGCAAAAGCTTTATAAAAAGTAATGTATGGGCTTCATCAAAATTAAAAATTTTTGTGTGCCAAAGGACACCATCAAGAATGTGAAAGGTCAACCAGAAGAATGGGAGAGAAGATTTGCAAATCATGTATCTGAAAAGGGTACAGAGGCCAGAATATAGAAAGAATTCTTACAACTCAACAATAAAAGGATAATATCTCAATTAAAAAATGGGCAAAGAATCTGAATAGACATTACTCCAAAGAAAATATACAAATGGCCAGTAAGCACATGAAGGGATGACCAGCACCATTAGTTACTTGGGAAATGCAAATTAAAACCACAATGAGATACCACGTCATATTCACTAAGATGGATATAATTTTTTTTTAGTTAAAATAAGTGTTGGTAAAGATGGAGAAATTGGAGCACTGAGATGGGAATGTAAAATGGTGCAGCTACTGTGAAAGACTGGCAGTTCTTCAAAAAAATTAAACATAGAGTCACCATAAGACTCAACAATTCCACTCTTAAGTATATAGCCCAGAAAATTGAAAATATATGTCTCCACAAAAACATGTACATGAATGTTAATAACAGTTTTATTCACAATAACCCCAAAGTGTAAACCACCCAGATGTCTATCAACCAATCAATAGATAAGTACATGTATATCAATACAATGAAATATAATTCAGCCATAAATATAATTCATTCTATAACATGGATGAACCTTAAAAACATTATGCTAAGTGAAAGAAGCCAGACACAGACGGCTATGTGTTTTATGATTCCATTTACATGAAATGTTCCCAACAGGCAAATCCATAGAGACAGAAAGTAGATTAGTGGTTGCCAGAGAGTAGGGAGAGGATGGAATTGGGAGTGACTGCTAATGGGTGCCACATTTTATTTTGGAGGCGATGGGAATGTTCTGGATTAGGTGATGGTTGCACAATATTATGAATATACCCCAAACACTGAACTGTATTATTTTAAAATGGTGAATTTTACATCAGTAAAAATGTATACAATAAAAATAACACACCCTAAAAAAAAGGCAAGGATATTTACAAAGATTAATAACACATTCAAATGTAAGGGAGTGAACCTTGATCAATGGGGAACAAGAGACAGGAAGCAACCTGGCAGATAAATCCTTCCTCCTTTCTCCTTTCTCCTTCCATGGACTCTACTGATGTGCAGGTCTTCCTTGCAGTCCTGTCTCTATGTGGCCTGTGACTGTGAACAGCATGAGATTAGGACCTAGGATTAGGATCACATTGTTTTATGTTGTTCACTTTCATATTCTCCCCAGCCCACCTCTCTCTCCCTCCCACATTCCTTCCTTCCCTTTATCCTCAATTTCCTGGGCTTGCTCCTCCCAGATAAAGTCTGAGCACCTGTACTCCTGGCCCTAGATTCTGCTTCGAGGGGCACCTGGGCTAAGACGCTAAGGGAAGGGCCTAGTAGAAGAGGGAAGGAGAGGACAGTCTGTGAAGTGCGGGTTCTATTACTGGAGAAGAGGCAGGGACATTTTTGAGGTTATGTTCATGGCTATAGGTAAAAGCTGACTTTCCTTTGTAGAGTAAAGAGTGAAATTATTCTGTCAAACTCATTCTCTGAGAAGCACTGTATTTTAAACAACTGTTTTCCTCTTTATAAAAACAAGGCATACTCATTGAAATGTTCTAAGCATGTGAAATTGAACACAAAGAATGACATTAAACATATGCAAACTGAGCAAAAGGAACATTATCCAAAATCCTACGCCATTTTGGTGTCTGTCCTTTCAGTCTCTTTTCTATTCAAACATAAACCTAGAAATACTTTTTTTTTCTAAAGAAAGAATAATTTCCTGAATAAAATGTGTTGTGATAATAGTGACTCAATTACTTTAAGACTTTGGAAATTCTCCATTAAACAAATAAAATTCATGGTTTAAAAAAGTAGTTGAGCCCTGGCCAATTTGGCTTAGTGGTTAGAAGGTGGGCCTACAGACTGAAGGATTGTGGGCTCGATTCCCAGTCCTGGTCAGGGCACATGTGCAGGAGGCAACCAGTTGATGTGTCTCTCTCACATTGATGTTTCTCTCTTTCTCTCTCTCTCTCTCTCTCTCTCTCTCTCCCCACCCTCTCTCTTTTTCTGTTTCTCTTTCTCTCTCCCTTTCACTCCCTCTAAAAATCAATGGAAAAAATATCTTTAGGTGAGGAAAAAAAAAAAAGTAGTTGAAGCTCCCAAATTTGAAAACTTGTTGCTAAACAATTCAGGCCTGAAGAATTAAGCTTGCCCTTTCCTATAGCAAGTAGAGCTGATCTCTTTTAATGAATGAAATGACTGCTTTAGCTTAGCCCATGATCCTTCTCCATGAGTACCATGTGTGAGCGTGTGCACACGGCACACAGGGAGACTGGAGCCTTGGAAGGGTTGCAAGGAAATGTGCTCCTCACCTGTGCTCTCTCAACATCTTTTATACAAGTAAATCCAACCAAAGCAGATATGTAAGGATCATGGGCCGGAACAAAGGCCTGGGAGGTAGCCGGGGTGAGGTGTGGGGGAGAGTGTAGAAGGGCAGCACCCACCTGTTTGCTTCATTGATGAGGGATGGCAGGAAGTCACTTGGGTCTACGTGAGCCTCAGCATATTAAAATCCTGGTGGCAGGGGGTAGCCTCCCTTTCTCTTCCACTGGCCTCGTCCCTTCCTGGCTGGCATTGGGGCAGATGTCAGGATGGATCGTTATTTGTCATACCTAGTAGTTTTGGGAATTATGTTTTTTTCTAATTTAAGGGAAGAGAGCTTTGTATGGAACCACAGTTAATGGTTCAATTCACGTAGAAAAGTATATTGACTGAATTTGAAGAAAACAATAATAGTAAAAATGTTAGAAAATATTACATGGAATTTACTGTGTAACAGGTGCTATTTTTAGTGCTTTACGTGTGGTAACTCATTTTTTTCTTTATTGATTAAGGTATTACATATGTGTCCTTATCCCCCCAATGTCCCTCACCCCCCACTCATGCCCTCACCCCCTTGGTGCCTGTGTCCTGTGGTAACTCATTTAATTCTCATGTTGAAGATGAGAAAACTGAGGCATGGAGTGGTTAAGTAACTGGCTCAAGGTTGCACAGCCGGAAAATGTTGGAGTAAGGTTTCAATCCGGGCATTTAGGTTTTCACGTCTGTACGTTACTCATGTATAGCCAAACATGCTGCAAAAGGAAGGCTCATGGCTGGGTAGCCAGGCAGCAGAGGTTGCAATAAGGTAAATTTCAGATGACATTAAGTAATGCATAACTCTTAGTGAAAGTACTATGCAGAGGGAGATTTTTAAATCAATAATCAGAAGGAATACTGTGGTTAAAAAATGCTCTAATAAAAATGTGACACTTGCAATGTTTGATATATTGAAGCACTGGTGTGGACATTCAGTTTCACATTAAAAAGAACTTAGGTTGGCAACTAGTTGATATTCAATGTTAAATGATATCAAAATAAAACCAGGTAGCTCTCCTCACCCTGGGCCTGCTACAGACAGTGAGGAGGGGGTGTGGATGTGCAGGGTGCTCTCCATGGGACGCTGTGCGGATGTGTTCCTCAAGTAGCCTCACCTGACCAGGTGGATGGACCATGAACCACCACTGCATTTATTCAGGAGGAGACAATGTTTCTCTCTGTCACTCAGTGAGGGGAGGATATCATTGATATTTGTTTCCTCATCATATTGTTCAACTAAGTGGCTAGCACGGGGCCTGGCACTCACATTTATTAAGGGAGTGGGCAGCCCCGTCTCTTCCTGAACACAAATTTGCGTGGGGAGCCAAACTGTAAACATGCCGTGAGCATGAAATTGGCCCGGCTGGCATCACCAAACTGCTACAGGGTGGTAAGAGCTCTACTCTTATTTTTCTAACAAATTGTCTATTTCTTAAAACAAAAGAACACACCAATCCATCTGGAGTTAATTTTAGTGTATTGTGCATTATTTGATTTCAGTTCATCTTTTTCACAGTATTTAATCAAGTTATCATAATGCTTGCCATTTAATATTTTTCTCTTCTGTAATTTTGAAAAATTGCTTATATTATGGAAATAGTTGGATCTATTTCTGAGCTCCTTGGAGTGTTCCATTCTCTGTATTCATTTTTATACTTTTTATTCTTCTGCCTTGATTAATATTACTCTGTAGTATATTCTAATATCTGATTAGTTCATATTGATTTTCTCAATTAAATTTGTTTTGTAATACATTTACTCTTGGTCTAATTTTAGAATTATTTTGTTATGCTATCTTGTTTCTTTTTTTAGTTTATGATATTTATTGGTATGACATTGGTTAATAAGGTCATATAGGTTTCTTGTTATGCTATTTTAAAAAGCTCATTGAACATTGGTATCAACATTTGTAAGCAAAATGTCCGAATCATGTGTTTTTTAGCATGTTAAAAGTAAAGTGACTTTCTAACTTGACCACTTGCATGGGCAATAGGATGCTGGTAGTTGGAAAATAGAAGGTGATTATAGGAAAGCAATAAGTTGGCAAGTGAATAGCACATATAAATTGAGATATACACTGAGTAGCCAGATTATTATGACCACCTGACGTTTGTAGGCAAATTAGCTATAATTTCACGCTGAAGTTGCTAGAGGGCCAGACCATTATAAATAGGGAAGCAGGTTGTTTACCATGACAGTAGAAGTGATTTGTTTCTGAAGATATGGGTAAACAATGCGATTTAACAGCCTTTGAACATGGGACATATATTATTATGAGTGGCCAGATTATTATGACCACCTGACGTTGTAGGCAAATTAGCCATACACTGCATCGTATGGGATATGAAAGCCGAAGGCCTGTTCGAACACCTTTGCTGTCTGCAGTTACCAAGATAAAATGTCTCCAATTCACACAGGAACACAAGGATTGGACAGTCGAGTAATGGAAAAAAGTCATGTGGTCCGATGAATCACGTTTCCAGTTGCATCATGCAGATGGCAGAGTGAGAATTTGGCAGAAACAGCATGAAAGCATGCACCCCACATGCATGAGTACAGCCCTTCAAGCTGGTGGGGGCAGTGTTATGGTTTGGGGCATGTTTTCCTGGCATGATTTGGGCCCTTTAATTCGTGTGGAATGACGTCTGAATAGCACAACATACCTAAGTATCGTTGCTGATCAAGTTCATCCTATCACGTTGATGGCGTATCCCAATGGAGATGGCTTCTTCCAACAAGACAATGCGCCATGCCATGGTGCTCGTATTGTGCAGGAGTGGTTTCAAGAACATGAGGGAGACTTTACCTTGCTTAGGTGGCCCCCACAATCACCAGATCTCAATCCAATTGAGCATTTGTGGGATGAAGTTAAAAGAGCCATCAGGCAGCTGGTGCCACAACCATCAAATCTCACAGAACTGGGCAGTGCTATTCATCAGGCATGGTGTCAGATTCCTCACATCACCTTTCAACATCTCGTGGAGTCAATGCCAAGAATTGCCGCAGTATTGAAGGCAAAAGGTGGCCCAACGAAGTACTGCTGGGGTGGTCATAATAATCTGGCCACTCACGTTCAAATATATCCCACGTTCAAAGGCTGTTAAATTGCGTTGTTTACCCATATCTTCAGAAAAAATTCACTTATACTGTCATGGTAAACAAACTGCTTCCCTATTTATAATGGTTTGGCTTTCTAGCAACTTCAGCGCGAAATTATAGCTAATTTGCCTACAAACGTCAGGTGGTCATAATAATCTGGCCACTCAGGATATAGCTACATCTAAGTAAGCTGGACAATTCAACCCTAGTAGAAGGTTTTCCTGTCCCCAGTTTTAATTGAAAAGGACAGAATCAGAATACTGTAGAGGACAGAATGATGATTGCTTACAGCTACAGTGATACCTTGATCTTATTTCAGCAGTTTTTGTGTACACACAACAAAATAATCTTTGGAAGAACACAGTATCACCTAGTGTTTAAAAATATGGACTCAATGATCAGACTGCCTGGATCTGAATCACCTCCTCTATTTACTGGACTTTGATTTACTGCAAATGGATTATAATAGTAATTAGCATATGTGTATATGTATATATGACGTCATATATCTATATAAATATAGATATAGATGTATAGATATATAGATATATATTATCCAAAAAATGTATGCACACTTTGAATAGTTATAAAGGCAGTATTTATTAAAATACATTTCATTTTCAAAATTGAGCTATCAGCTGTTAATATGTGTTTACATTTTTTGGGACGCCCTGTACCGGCATATGACTTCAACAGCACCTAGCCAATGATGCTACTTATGTTAAGGGGATTTGGAGCTAGAAAGGCAGTTTTTGGTTTGGAAGAGGCCCATTTGCGTACATTTCTTTATTCCCCAGATCTGAAAGTCTACCCTGTGCAGGTTTGCACGGGCACCGTGACCCAGTAAGGCTGTACTCCCGTCCTTGGCCTGCACCATTATCAGGGAAACGCTTCTGAGCTTTTGTACCTGACTTATTTATTGTTGCATTCTGGCAGCCATCCCCTGGCCTCCTGGCAAAAAATAGCTGGATTTCATTAAAATTCAATCTCTCTTGATAGCATCTCTGCTGGATATTAGAGGGGACTGCTACCAGTGGAGCTTGAGCGACCTGATTCAGAAGAGATTTGGGCCGGAATTTTCTAAGTGCTCTAAAATTACCGTTTATAAAGTTTCTCTCTGCGTCTGCCCACTTCCTTGTGCCCTGGGCTCCCTGCTCTCCTGATGCTCTGCTCCCAACACAAAACCTCGGCCAAGTCCTGTGGCTTTTTCGAGTTGGACACTGAGATGATTCTTGCTTCATATTTCAGGTGCCAGTGCTCTCCCGTGGTCCCGAGTCCCCGCTCCAGGGCGCCCTGTATGAGTGACGCCTGGGCCTGCCATGGAGCCTGGCCCTGCCCTGGCCTGGCTCCTGCTGCTGAGCCTGCTGGCTGATTGTCTGAAAGCTGCACAGTCCCGAGACTTCACAGTGAAAGACATTATCTACCTCCACCCTTCAAGTAAGACTCTGTTCTCTTTGCTGCGGAAATGTCACTCGACTGCAAATAAGACTTGAGTTAAAAAATGGCGGGGAGCCCTGGCCAGTTTAGCTCAGTGGATAAGGCTTCAGCCAGCAGGCTGGAGGGTCCCGGTTTTGATTCCAGTCAAGGGCATGAGCCTTGGTTATAGGCTTGACCCCAGGTCCTGGTTGGGGTGCGTGCAGGAGGCAACCGATTGATATGTCTCTATCACATTGATGTTTCTTTCTCTCTGAATCTCCCCCTCCCTTCCACTCTCTCTAAAAATCGATGGAAAAATATCCTCAGGTGAGGATTAACAAATAATAATAATAATAAAATAAAAATAAAAATGGCTGGGAGAAGGCAGTACAGGGAAAACCTCTGATGATTTAATTGGGGGGTGCAGTGCTACCAAAGATGCCGTGGGTTTTATCCTCACCTTTTTCTAGCATGTTTGTTTTTTTATTTTAAGGCAAATTATCAGGCTCGTTTTCTCTGTCCCCTGCACCTTCGCTCTGATTCCGAACACCCTTCCCTTTGACTCATGCCAGCCAGTTATCAAAGTGAAATCCGTGTCCCAGGAGGGATGTGTTTGTAAAAGATCAGTCCTTTGTAGGGAAGATAATAGCCGGTCCTGTCTGTGCATCTCATTCTCAGTTTCAATGTAATTATCTTCCACAGCTTCCTGTTTCCTCTCCCTTTCGGTTTCCTGTGTGTAAGACTTATCTAGAGAGTGCATCATAATGCAGATGCACGGTCCCTTCCCTGGAGTGTCTGATCGCGTATCTGGCTGGGGCTGTACTGTGGTTTCTGGCTTTTAGCAAGAATATCAGGTGCCTCTGCTGCTGATATTCTAAGGATCACACAGCACTTGCACCTCCTCTCTTAGTTGGATCTTCTCTGTATTGTCCCTGTGGTGGTGAGAGCTGCGTATATTGTGTATGTTTTGACCTTCAGCATTTGCCCTGAGGTACATTCCTCTTATGAAATAGTCTGTTCCACCTATATCTTTTTGTGTATCCTGTGTGTCAGAACTGTGATAGGCATGAAAGACATAAAGGCAAATAAAGCATAGTCCTTGCTTTTGAGGATCTTAGAATCTACACAGTGGAGGCCACTCCTCGGACTCCTTTAATATCATCAGCCAGCTGCTCTACTAAACTGCATGGTCTGGTCTGGATGAGAGGTAGGCCGTCCAGTCACCTGCCCATGGGTCAGCAACTAGCTCAGCTGCTTCGTAGACTTCTGACTTGAAATAAACACCTCCACTTTGTGACGATTAAATCTAAGAATGCATACAAAGCATTTAGCACTGAATGTAGTAAGTGCTTAATAAATGTTAGGGAAATCTTTTAAAATGTTAATTTTCACATTTCTAAAGTGGATAAAATAATCCATACCCTGTCACATTGCTTTGTGAACTTAACATTGTAAATAACATCTGTAAAATGCTGGGCACATATATATTAGGCAATGGGAGACCTGTAAATTATGATGTTGCTATAATTGGCTTAGAGGGTAAACTGGGGATGCTGAAAATACGTTGCTCTAATTTTTAAATTCCAAATATGCCTTTGGCAAGCAGCAAAGAGTTTCTTTAGTTTTATTGCTACTGTCTCTCATCAGTAGAGTCCATTGCCTACTGTGAATTGTATGGGAAGCTTATCTGGATGCTTGTTTTGCAGGGCTGTTTATTTTAGTAAAATCTGTGAAAAGAAGGTGTTTTGAAAACTGCTCTGTTTTCTAGGATTGCATTTGTTCTTTTCTCCAGTCATACTTTTTTTTTAATTAAACTTGGTGAACAAAAACCTAGATTTCAGTCTCTTAGGTTTGAGTGCCAGAATTCTCAGCCTCTGGGCGGTTCTCTGTCCACTTCAGTGACAGTCTCAGAAGTCACTGGGCCACAAAGCAGGTCCACACCTGGCTTTCTCTGAGGCCGATTGTACTCAGGGTGGGGAGGAAAATCGAGGGGGTTGGATTTAGGTGAACACAAACAAACAAACAAACACACATCCCGCTTCTGCCTCAGTGGTATCGTGGGTCCTGTCTGATTGTGTGGGCCCCTATTTCAAAGTCAATTTCAAAATGGGATCTTTGCAGGATGACCTATGTTAATTAAATAGAGCCATAGCTTAATTAAAAAGAACTCACCATATAGAAATAATTGGTAGGTTTTTCTGATACAATTTTTAAAGATAGAGGATAGAAGAAGCCGTTTCTAAGCTAGATTGTATGTAGACAGGTCACCAGCAGGTCTGGGCTCAGCTCTGTTGTGGAGTCTCTGTAACGGGTCCTGGAGGGTAAAGGTTCTTGCTAGGTTGAAGTTCCCATCCATGGGTCCTCCTTGGCTAGAATTCTGTTTACCCTCCCCATGTTAAAGCACAGTTAACTTCCCATTTCCGTGCACTAGGTCAGAGGTTTATGGTGTTTGTTTGCTTGTTTTTATACTTTTTTTAAATGGCCATCGTCCTCTGCCCTGCACAGCACCCACTAGACCAGCGGTTCTCAACCTGTGGGTCGAAACCCCTTTGGGGGTCAAACGACCCTTTCACAGGGGTCACCTAAGACCATCGGAAAACACATATATAATTACATATTGTTTTTGTGATTAATCACTATGCTTTAATCATGTTCAATTTGTAACAATGAAATTGGGGGTCACCACAACATGGGGAGCTGTATTAAAGGGTCGCGGCATTAGGAAGGTTGAGAACCACTGCACTAGACCATGCTTCGATGGAGTGATCTCTCTATGAATAAGCAGGTTTCTGTAGAACACAGACTAGAACACATACATGAGGGCAGTGTGGGATTATTTCGATCTGGAAGTATTAATATAATCGACTCACTATCTAGATGGAGGCACACACAGTTTTCTTGAGGTCAGTAAGTGAGCCAGAGTCCATTTCTGTTAGATACAGCTCAGAACCCACGAGGCAGAAATGCACTGATGCTGGAGACACACGTTTTCCACACCAGGCAAACATGAACTCATTTCTGCTGGGCCCGAACAGCCCTCAGAGATAATAAGTGGGTGGGACTGGAACCCGGGCCGGGAATCCTCAGCCTCTGTGACTAATCTCCTTTGCTCTCTGATTCCCTAATCTTTGAAGCTTCTAAGCCTTAAGAGAAATAAACTTTATGGCTTTCAAACTTGAGGCGCTGTCCTCAGTAACATTCTTTTCCATAATCTGTATTTTATTTTCTTTTTCATGTGAGAAATGACGAATTCCTTCCCAACTGCTGATTAAAGTACCAAAACCTAATAAATCCTTTAAAACTAAAGTTAGTGGTAAGAGAAATGAATAGGAGATGGCAGAATTTAACATCCAAATGGACTTCAACCTGTTCTTGGCCTCCCTCCCTTTCCTTGTAATAGCAATCTTTCCTGAGATTCTCACTTTTCCACTGGTTGCATATTCTGAGTCATTCCTGTGGACCAAAGCACTGAATCCCTGCAGGGGGTTTCTTATGCCAATATAGAGAACCAACTAATTTTTTTTTCATAATTCTGTACCGCATACGCCTTAGGGAGTAAGGACACTTTTTAGAAAGGCAGCACAAAATACATTTCTTTTAGAAATTTGTTTACGGTATTAAGATACTGACAACAATTGGTAGGCAAGTGGTCTGAGAGGTAGATCAATTTATTAGATTTCTAAAAATTTTGTGTTTGCTTCTAGTTTCCAAAAACAATGGGAATTAATTTGGTAAGAATTTTTAAAAAAAGGTTGGCTGCATTCCACAGAAGCATGCATTTTAAAACAAGATTCTCTTCTCACCACCGTTTTTGGTAACTGAAGGCCTTTGTCCAGGCAAAAGTTCCAAGAGGTGGAAACAAAGAGGAAATCTTTCCCGGTGCCTTACAAATGAATTATGGTCAGTTGAACTATAGCTGACCATGGGAGTTAATGGACAGATTATGTTACAGGAAGTAACTGGGCACTTTGGCGTTTCTTTTTTTTCTTTACAATCACCTTCTCTTGAGGGACCAAGGACTTATGCCCTGAACTACAGAGTACTAAGCTTATTAGCTCTGTGATCAAGAGCCAAATTAGATTCATTCACAGCTGGGGCCACAACAGTTTGAAACTCTACTTGCTCTGCAATGCTTTGAAGTAACAAAGAAAAAATAGAACATCTCTTAGGAATCTCTTTCCAGTCCTTTTATAAAAAAAAACTTATCAGATGCAGTATCAATTAGCAAGTTACTGGAGATAGTTGTTCAATTGTAGACCTATTTTTGACTGAATATTTCCAGAGGGAAGAATTTAACCATTGCTTGGTATTGTGCTATAATTATCAACTTAAAGCTGAGTCTGTCTGCAGAGATCTGTCACTGAAAAGGGTTTGGTTATTCACTGATCAGTACCGTCTGCTGAGATGTAAGTTCAAGTTCCCATAAGCAAATATTAGCATGTGGTTGTTGACAATGCACACAGATATGAAGTTGTAGATTTAAAAAGAAAACTTACTGAAAATGAGATTTTTTGGTTAATTGTCAGTGATACATGCTGATAAACACATTCAGAGATAAAGTGATTTGAAACAAAGCTTCATTATGCCACCTGAGTGTTTTAGTTTGTGTTCCTGTTTAAACTTTGATCTACTTTAAGTTAATTTCAGAGTTCAGTACTACTTGTATAAGAAATGACAGTATTTAATTAAACATGTCACTAGACTTGCAAAAGATAATTTTGAAGAATCTATTAAATAATCCCAAATTTGGAACACTATAGCTTATTAATGCTAAATTCTCTAAAAGTTTATGTGTAGAATGGTTGGAGTGTCAATCTCTGCTCAGAGTTCTTAATTTATCTCTTTGATGGGAAAGTTTCCAGGAAAATTAACCCAACATTCCAGCTCAAAGTTCTACTGGCTGTAGCAACATTCAGATAAAATTGGATTCTCTAGCGAGTTAATCATGCCAGCTAAAGTGCTATGGCTCTTTTCAGTCATGAACCTTGACCAATATGATCATTTTTTGAGAAATTCTATTCTTTGACAAACAGTTTACATCTGTTTTTCAAAACTCCTACTCTGATAATCTTACTTCAAAATTTAAAAACTACTTTAAACTTTTACTTTTTAAAAAATATGTTTTTATTTATTTCAGAGAGGGAGAGAGAGATAGAACCATCAATGATAAGAGAGAATCATTGATTGGCTGCTTCCACCACACCACCTACTGGGGATTGAGCCTACAATCAGGGCATGTACCCTGACCAGGAACATCCTAGTTCATAGATCAATGCTCAACCACTGAACAACACCAGCCAGCCTTAACTTCTTTCTTTTAAACATATTTATATATTAAATATTTTGAAGATGCTAGTGACTTTTTTAAATGAAATCAGGATGATTTACTAAACTATTTTGCATGTTTTTTTCTCATAACTTATAAAAATAAGCCAATAAAATGTCTATGAGAATATTTGAATGGCTTTGGAATATGAGAACCTGTTTGTTTTAAATTCTTCAGGCATGTACTTCGCTAAACTAGACTCTTTTAACTTAAATGTAACCCACCTGTCTAGGTAGTGGGATGTGCAGATATAAAACTTACTTGCATGTAGTTTTACAAAATAGTTTACTTCTTTTTTATTATAATTACTAGTAGCCCAGGGCACGAAATTCGTGCACATTAAAAGGGAATTAATTGTCCTAACCTGTTTGGCTCAGTGGATAGAGCATCGGCCTGTGGACTCAAGGGTCCCAGGTTTGATTCCGGTCAAGGGCATGTACCTTGGTTGCAGGCACATCCCCAGTGGGGAGTGTGCAGGAGGCGGCTGATCGATGTTTCTCTCTCATCGATGTTTCTAACTCTCTATCCCTCTCCCTTCTTTTCTGTAAAATCAATAAAATATACATTTTTTAAAAAGGGAATTAATTAACGGAGATATTTTAATATTGCTATTTGCCCTTTCTCTATAATAGAAGTGTGAGAGATGAAAGGGAATTAGTAAAATGTATATGAAAATAATATATAAATTTATTAGTAAATAAACAGCACCAAAAGGATATAACAACAACAGAGGCATGGTATAAAAACAACAAAAACATGATATGAAAACAACAAAAACATGATATGAAAACAACAAAAACATAATATAAAAACAACAGTGATGCAAACAATGACTGATAAAGTGATTAAACTTATTCTAATATCTCCCTGTATACCACATTAAGAGTGAAAAACACTTTCAGAGTGCTTGACTAATTTCCCTTGTGATGAAGTATTTAGAACTTTAACTGTAACGTCACATGTTCTTCAAACTCTAGAGAAAGCAACATATAACTGACCATGTGCGAAAACAGGTTCAGGTAGGAATATGCCTACTCTGTCTAGAGCAGCGGTTCTCAACCTGTGGGTCGTGACCCCTTTGGCAGTCGAACGACCCTTTCACAGGGGTTGCCTAAGACCATCCTGCATATCAGATATTTACATTATGATTCATAACAGTAACAACATTACAGTATGAAGTAGCAACGAAAATAATTTTATGGTAGGGGGTCACAATATGAGAAACTGTATTTAAAGGGCCAGAAGGTTGAGAACCACTGGCCTAGAGTTTGTCCTTGTGATTTATTAATAGTCATCACAAATGCTGGCATCACGGGAAACCGTCGTCGAATCAATTTAAATGGGAGGCCAGTGTCAGATGGGGACAAATTAATTCTTGGAATCAGAACAGCCTCTCCCTCTGCAGATCCTGTTAATACTTCAGCTTCAATAATGTTAGGTCGTAATCTTTTGATAATAAATCTGATACCATTACAAAGCCCCCATTTACTATTGAGATTTCTCAATAGCATGATGATTGCACCCACTTTCAATTTTAATTTATGACACGGCATTCTCGAAGGAGTAATACTATTAAGAAATTCGATGGGAAAATTTTCCTTTTCAGCATCATCTGTGGAATCAATGGAATCATCAGTCAAATATGTGTGAAAATCTCCATCAAGTATATCCAAAATTTCTTCATTTAATTTTTGAACATGCTCATTTTTTTGGACAAAGAATTGCACATTTAGATATATTTTTAATATTATCTATAGATATAGTATTTCCAAAGGTATCTTCAATAGTAGATCCATTACAAATCATTTCACTTCTACTCTCCACTCCGAGGGCGGATTCCTGCCTGAAACCTCGCCCTCCAGGAAACAGCTGGGGGAGGGCGCAGCCATTTCCAAGACGACCCCTGCAGGACTGACTTCCTTCCGGTTGGTCGTGGTTCTGGCCTTGATGTTACACCCAGGGTTTTTATATAAGTAGATACCTAGGGAGAGGATGACTCCTCCCAGTGAAATTTCCTCCTTGGGAATGAAGTGGTTGGATGGCTATGTCTAAGTGGTTTTCCATCCTCGTTTTCTAAGACAATCCATGTGCAAACTATCATTCTGTTGATGAATTTGAGTCATCAACTACTTGGAGGAACACAGAACTCTCACATGGGCCCATAAACAGGTCCAGGTACCTGCCTTTTTAAAAAGACAGTTTATTACTTTTGATCTTGCTATTTTCAGAGGCAGCTCTGTGAACTGTTGTAAGCAAGTGCAAGGATGGGCAGCTGTTCTAGGCAAGGTGAAAATCAAAGTTATATCTGGCCCATAATTCTGGCCTTAAGCGGCTGCCTCCTCCTTCATTTATTTTTGATAACATACTTAATTGGTTCCATGTGGGTAAAGCAATTTACCCTGAGATGATTATTTCCGCCAGTGGGATATGCAGGCTCAGGCATCTGCGAGAGAGAACAGTTGGCTTCTGCAGATGAAGTGTTTGAGTGTTTGCAGCTTTCAAAGAGGCCAGGTAATTCTACAAATTAAACACACACATTCACAAGTTCTGTTTATGAAAGGCAAAGCTCTACGCAGAAAGGCAAAGTAAGCAAATGATTAGAACTGAGCAGCAAGTAAAAGCACATCAGCAGATCGGACTGAGATAACCTAGCCTGATATTCCTTGTGCATCCTCATCCTTAAATGCTAACGAGGCGTGACTCTCATGGGACACCTCCCCCCACCCCAGCATAAATGCAAGGTAGAGAATACAAGTAACTGGAGGACAAAAGAAGCAACTCAGGGGTGAGGAGAGGAGGGGATGGAGAGGAGGGGCTTCAGGATAGAGCTGGGAGCCTAGAGTGCATCTGCATCCCCAGGGGCCCCCAGTGCTGCCCCAAGGACAGACGGACGGACGTTGGACCTGGGCCTGAGAGGCCCCCCAGGAGGGTCACCTCTGCATAGGCAGCAACTATTTTAGCTTTGGAGACGCCTTTCTTACCATCCCCAGGGATTCTTAATCATGTTGGGTCTGAGCAGATAGAAATATTACAAGGAACTAAAGAAATTGCCACCTTTGCAGGTACAAAATGGTCAAACATCAGGAAAGTTTTTATGATTGAACCTAATATTTATATGTACTTGTTGACCTGTCTACATAAGTTGGCACATAAAAGTAAGTCATTGGAAATTCAGAGTGCCTTTTGTAATTGAAAAATTTATTGAGATAATTGTAGATTAAGCAGTTGTAAGAAATAATATAGAAAGATTCCAGGTATACTTTACCCAGTTTCCCCCAATGGGAACATTTTGAAAAACTATAGACTAATATCACAGCCATTGATATTGATACACCTATCCACTGGTCTTATTCAGACTCCCCAGTTTTATTTGTGTACATTGTATGTGTGTGTGTGTGTGTGTGTGTGTGTGTGTGTGTGTTGAATTCTGCATAATTTTATCACATGTGTAGGTTTGTGTATTTACAACTAAGTCAAGATACTAAATAGTTTCAATAGCACATGATTCCTCTTGGCCTCACACCAAGCTCCCTCTAAACCTGTCCCTACCCTGGCAACCACTAATCTTTCCTCCATTTCTAAAATTTCCTCATTTTAAAATATTACATATAGTAAATGTTACATATAATATATAACATTTATGGGGATTGACTTTTTTCACTCAGCATAATTCCCTGGAAATTCATCCAAATTGATGAATGTATTAATAGTTCATTTTTATAGCTGACTGGTGTTCTATAGCATGGAGGTACCAGAGTTTAACCTTCGCCCATTGAAGGACATCTGGATTGATTCCAGGTTTTGTCTATTACAAATAAAGTTGCTGTGAATATTTGTGTACAGATTTTTGTGAGGATGTGTTTCCTTTTCTCAGAGAAATAGGACCAAGAGTGCAATTGCTGAGTCATATGTTACTTGCATGTTGACTTTTTAAAGAAACTGTCAAGATGTTTTGAGATGGAAAATATAAAATAAAATAAAATAGAAGGTGGGGTGGGAACTGGGTGGAGGGGAGCTATGAGGGAAAAAAAGAGGAGCAACTGTAATAATCTGAACAATAAAGATTTAATTTAAAAAATGCAAATTAAAAAAATAAAAATAAAAAATAAAATGTCAGCCACAAAAAAAATAAAAATAAAATAAAATAAATTTTAAAAACAAAATTTAAATTAAAAAAAGTGAAAATGTCTAACTTCACTATGCAGGATTCTGTTCTTAGTCTAAAACATTACTCTTTTCTCTTGATCCTTTTTGTAGCCACACCATATCCTGGTGGATTTAAGTGTTTCACCTGTGAAAAGGCAGCGGACAATTATGAGTGCAACCGGTGGGCTCCAGACATCTACTGTCCTCGAGGTAAGCTCTCAGTAGACAGATTGAGGTCCCAAGAGCTGACCAGGAGTGAACAGGCCTGTTTATCTTGATACATCTATAGAAGGAAGCATGCTCATAATCTCATTCGTTTCTCTTGTGTAAGGCTATTTCGACTGCTTATACTACACCCATAACTTATCATCAAAAACTCTCAGAGTCATAAACTGATCCATGGGGTTGCCTCTTTTCTCACAAAGCGTTGTTGGAGCTCCAGGGAAGGTGAGTGATGTTCGCCCCAGGCCCAGTCACATGCAGGACATGAAGAGAACAACCAGCCTCTAATCCACTCTTTGAAGCATTAGTCATTGCATAGTAACTTCCTTTATGCAAAGTATGAATCGATGTTCATATAAAGATTCCATTTATTGCATATCTTGCCGGAGGCTTTTATCCTGAGACTGCATGAAAGCGAGAATTCTAAATGTCATCGTTGCATAAATGAAAACCCTGAGCTTTTTAAACTGTTCAGTTCTCTTTGAAGGATGAGATGGATCCCCAATGGAAGCATGAAATTTTGACTCAAAGGCCCATTTCAAAATGAAGTAGATGCTTCATAATCATATTTCTTTTATCCTATTGAATTAAAAAGATGGTTATATTTGGCTACAGAGTCATGTTAATTGGCAAGTTTATTTTTGGAAGAAAGTATTCATTTGAAGGGGAGATGACAAGGACAGGGCATTTTATTGATAGATGTTTGAGCAATTAGTTCAGTGGGCTTTGCTGCTGATCGAATTTAGTTGTTAAAATGACTGAACACACCAACACCACATCTGCTATTTTTAACATAGGACAAGAGTTCTCGTGCTCACCCAGTGAAAGCACTCTGTTTCTCACGGAGCACTGGGCATTGGCCGAGCCTGGAAGCACCAATTAAGAGACAAGTGTCAGCTACCTAAACCAGTACTATTTAACCTATGGGTGCCCACCTAGACTGCCCAATAGGAACTCCTGTGAGTCTTTTCAAAATCACTGGAACCTGTGCCCTGTGGTCCTAACACTTGAGCATGACCATCATTCCCTGGAAGGCTTATTAAAACACTGGCCAGTAGCTTAGTTGGTTAGAGTGTCGTCTTGATATACCAAGGTTGCAGGTTTGATCCCCAGTCAGGGCACATACAAGAATAAACCAATGAAGGCATTAAAAAAATCAATGTTTCTCTCTCTGTCTCTATCTCCCTTCTTTTCTCTCTCTTTAAAATCAAACAATAAATAAAAATTTTTAAGGCATTAAGAATTAAAATAAAACAAATTTCTGGCCCTACCCCTGTTCTCCCTCCTTCCAAGTTTCTGACTCAGGAAGTCTTGGATGAGGCCTGAGAATTTGCATTTCTAAAGAGTACCAGCTGATGCAGAAGCTGCTGGGCTCCAGACCACACATTAAGCACCACAGTCTACACACACTGAGCCAGCATCCCCGCACAGAGTATTTAAATATCCCCGGGAATTCTAGTGGACAGTCAGGAGCAAGAACCACTGGGAGCTCCTCTCCCCACTAGTAAAAAGCGTAATGTAGTGTTGTCATCTCTAGATGCCTCTTGTTTACTTTGCACTAGAGATGCTAATGGGAAAGACCACAGGGAAGAGGAAAACATGGCGACACTAACGACTGGCTTAATCACAAGCCAGCTGTCCAGCCATCCGGGTGATCACAGAGGAGTCCTGCCTCACTGCCTTCTGCAGTCTCTTGCTCATTGCAGGCGGAGCCAGTGTTCTCTAACATCCCACCGCAGAAGGAGCACTTGAGTAGGCTGCCGAGGGTCCTGGCGAAGCCACTGCTTCTCAAACTGGGCAACACATTCCAATCACGGGGTAAATAAAAATACTGATGCCCAGGTCATTCCCAGAGGTGCACGTTTAAATGGTATAGAGTGTGCCTGAGCATCAGGAGTTTTACAAGCTCCCTGCGGTTCTCAGATGTAGTGCCCTGACTGGGGATCAAACCTGCAACCATGACACAGGACACAGGCCCTTGGGGGATTATGCAGCGAATGATAGGAATGGGGTTTCTTCTTTCAAGGAGCATGCAGTTTAGCTGGGGAGATAGGATCTGAACATCTGAGAACCACCAGTGACTCTGGACTCAAACAGGATGGTTTGCTTGTGTAGCCAATAACTTTTGGGTTGGTTCCTGTTGGGAAAAGCTGGCAGATTAGCTTTGGCCACAGTTGCCAGTGCTCAGTACTGCTGTACAGGACATGGGACAGTGCTTCTCTCATTATCGCCTTAGCAAAGATGAGGAGAAGAAAGGGAGGGACTGTGGACTGCGGCTTGCTCAGGCTTTGGGCTGTATTTCAGAGAAACCCAGCCCAAGGCTGATGGTGTACAAGTATATCCCTGTCACGAAGAGAAAAACAGGTGACTGGTGGCAATCTGCTCGAATTCCCCACAGGAAAAGACGAAGGTCCCTCTTTATATTTTCTTTTGAGGACAAAATCTATCCTTCCAAAATACAGATATCCAAAATATCATTGACACAATTTCTTCTCCCCCCCCCTTTTTTCCTACTTTTTTGTCTATTAATTTATAGGGGTAAATGGAAAGTGCCACCTTGAGGTTCATGACACAGGACACAGGCGCTTGGGGGATTATGCAGCGAAAGATAGGAATGGGGTTTCTTCTTTCAAGAAGCATGCAGTTTAGCTGGGGAGATAAGATCTGAACATCTCAAATGTCACAAATAGCAGGACAAAGGTGAGTGCCAAATGAAACATGGCATTAAATGCTGGGGAGTTAAAGGGGAGATTTGCTCTTTGGGGGCTGAGGTGGCGGGTGAGAATGTCATGGGCTCATCATGGGCTCGGAAGATGGGCAGTGGAGGGAGAAGGTGGAAGAGGACATGTCTTCTGGGAAGTCGCTCAGAGCAAAAGCATGGAGACCTGATGCCCCAAGTGAGCATTGTGGACAGGGAGAGAATTCAGCTGGGTATAGCAACTAGTTTATATCAGACAATAGTAGGAACAAGTAGGGGAGCCAGGTTATTTTCCTGGTACCTTAAACATTAGGTAAGGAATGGGTACTAAAGCCACACCCAGCTTACTTCTTTTTTTTATCCTCATCCGATTATATTTTTCTATTAATTTTTAGAGAGAGTGGAAGAGAGAGGGAAAGACAGAGAGAAACATCGATGTGAGAGAAACACATTGATTGATTGCCTCCCACATGCGCCCTAACCAGAGCCCGGGCCTGGGAGGAGCCTGCAACCAAGGTATGTGCCCTTGATTAGACTCAAACCCGGGACCCTTCAATCCACAGGCTGACGCTCTATCCACTGAGCTAAACTGGCCAGGGCACCAGCTTACTTCTTAACCAGCTCCACTGCCATAAACCATTTATCCTTTCCTCTGAGTTTTCTTCAAATTTTTCTACCAATGAAAATGCCATTGCTATTATTAGATTAAAATATAAAATGTGTCTAATCACTAGATATTATGGATTAACCCTAGATTTGTGTTGTTGTTTTTTTCCTGTTAATTATGAGTTTGTTTGAAGCAGCTACAGGACTACCAACAGGCTTAGTAAGGGCAGCTCAGTAGCTGCTATGAAAAAAGCATACCAGCTTTTTGCAGCATTCCTGTTGTTTGTTGGTTTATTTTATGGCGTGTCTAACTAGGTTTTAATTATTACATGATGTGAAAATAACTTGTTGAAAGTGAAAAAAAAGTGTATGTTACCATTTAATCTTATCTCTATGGGATAAGCCCACATCCCAAATTGCTTAGGGGAAAGCCTGAGTTTCAAGAACATGGAAAGCTAAACTCAGCCATGTGAATGCGTGTAGGACAGATTGGGTTTTAGCAGCTGAGGTAAAGCTTGCTTACTGATTCAGCAGACGGGTTGTGAAGCATCATTTGGTCAAATAAACATCAAGAAAGCCTTGCCCTGACTAGAATCACTGTGACAGGCAGTGGTGGCATCAGCCAGCCCCCTCCAGCCAACTCAGGCTCCCTGTCACTCCTAACTCTCCAAATGTGTGTTATATAAGCACTTCTTCCTCCGTCACTTCGTTATTGCCTCTGGCACTTACAGATTCCTGGTACCACACTCCCTCCCTAGACACGAGAACTTGAGACGCCCTTCATAACCAATCACATTCCCTCACTTCGCTAGCCTCCTGTTGAGTCTTTGGCCCCTGAGCACTTCCTTTGCAATAACCTCAATTTCATCAACTGCTCATTATAAATCTGTGCAGTTTCCTTGACTTTGTGAACTGGCATGGGAAAGGATCTTGAAATCATATCCTAGGAGGGACTAGTTGAAAAAACTGGTAAAGGAAAAACAGGCGTTGAATGTCATGCTCTCAGGTCCACATGTTCTCTTGCCTTGACTTTCTTCTGTGCTGTACCAGGTAAGATGAAAAGCTTCTTGAGAGAAAGGGACCATATAAGTGTTTAAGATTCTCTGGAATTAAATGTCAAGTAAAAACCATAACAATTTTTTAAAAGGCTAGTTCTGTGTAGGCTACCTAAGGCACTAGGATTTCATGTTCCTTTTTAATTATGAAGTGCAGATGTCTCCCTCCAAGGCAAATTCTTCATTTGGAGTTATTGCTGATATAAAATCAGACCGAGAGAAATCTTGAGATGGAGGGACATGTATCCTTTTGCTTCTAGCTTCTATGCTGCTCACTGTTGTGTGTTTTTTGTTGTTGTTGTTTTTTTGAAAGTGAAGAAAAACATGGGCATGTCCCTTAATGAGTCTTTCAATATCCATTATCTGGAATAAGCAGGAATATAAATATGATCCCGGCTCCACTGAAGACAGGCCCATGGTTACAGGTTTTTAGGAAAGAGTCTTTGTTGTTGACTTTTTCAGACAGAGCCAGGCTGAGACAAACAGCCTTTTTGTTTAACTTTACCCAAGGGTAGAATTTGTCTCTGGTACACTCAGAATGTAGCCCTTCAAGGTTTCTACCATTCCTCAGGGTCTCTATTTCAGCTCCAAACCCCAGGAGGACCCGGGGCCTTGCATCTTTTATAGTT